AATCCATTTTCCCTCATGCGTGCGGCACTTTTAGTTGGTCTACCGATGGTGCTAGTTACCCTAACAATAACAGTTCTCGTATGATCTAACTGCATTAAAAATGGAAAAATAAACAAACTTTAAAAAGTTAAACCGACTTCAAACCAAAAAAAAAACTTTGCTTACTGCACTAAAAAACGAAAAATATAATTAGTTAAATAAATAATTCGAAAAAGAAAAATGCACACAAGACTATTTTACTGGATGTCTAATTTTGTTTTTAATAATGTAACAAAATAACAACAAAAAGAAATAAGAACAATACCTATTTAGTAACATCTAAAGAATAAAAATAAAAAATAATTCTAATGAAATAACTAAATGCTTAAATTTTGGTTGATCTTTGTAAAATATCAAATTTTCAAAAACTTTATATATTTTGATAATTTAATATGTAGGTAAGTAACGTTAATATTAACAAAATTAGACATCCAGTAAAAGAGTCTTGTGCACATTCTTCTTCTTTGAATTATATAAAATCTAAGTTTATTTATCGCTTTTTAGTGCAGTAAGATTTTTTCTGTTTTGAAGTCGGTTTAACTTTTCTTTAAAAGTTTAATATTAAAAGTTCAATTATAACATTTTTTTGCTTGAACGTTACCCTGTTTGGGCTAGAAATAATAATTTATGTACAAAGATATATTTATCACATTTTGCTAGGACATTTATTTTTCATAAATTCCGAATAGGACATTAGGCCAGTTTCTTTGAGAAATAAAATGTCCATTTACTAAGGCCACATTTCTGAGACTCTGCTTGGCACTTTGTGCTATTTTTCCTATTACACTAAATTACTGTAATCAATTAATTTTCGGGAGCAGTTAGCACATTTGTCCTAACGAATCTCTGGTGTGATTGTCCACTAAAAAAAATGTAACATTTACCTTCCGATAGTCAAACATGCGTAGTGCTTAGGTAAGCAAAACTAAAATTTATTTAAGTACTTAAACCAATATGATGTTTCAGCTTTTATTGGTTACCATGTGCAACAAAAACTAAAACGTCAGTTATCTCTTTCATGCGTTGCAACCAGTTTTGTGGTCGCACAGCAAACATTTGGCGCTTCAGTGATCACAGAATAAACACCACACAAGCATATGAGTCTTTTGTCGTGCATAGTTTTGAGTCTGCTTCGACAATTTGTAATTATCATGAAACGGGATTGTAAGTAAAGACAAATGAAGCAGCAAAGAGGCATCATCTCTAGTTAAAATCAAAATAACAAATGGTGATCTACAAAAGTGACACTTAGCCAAAGATAATGTTCACTTTATTTTGTCCTACAATAGCAAAGTCAAAAGAAAGATTTTCCGTGTTCGTAATATCTATGGGTGTTCCTCAGGGTTTAATTCTTGGCCTCTTCCCGTGCTTAGTTTATATAACCCTACTGTATGGAATAATCATGATATATTTTTATTTGCTAATGATACTCGTTAATTTTCAGACTTAACGGCAATTGTTAAAAAAAATACAAAGTGAATGACAATTCGCTTTTGAACGGTAATGAAACGAAATATATTAAATTCACAATATCCCATGTTAAACACCCGGCGTTAACCAGTGCGCGTTTAAATAGGAAGGAACTGTATGCTTTTCTCGGAATTGTGGTTCACGCGAAGTTTTATCTATATATCTAAAATAGATAGTAAACTTAGTTTTGCTGCATATTCTATTTAAAAAAAATAGTTAATTAATAACCTTAATGTGTTGATAAAACTAGATGAGTTTAGTTTAGTTCTTGCTCTGTGATAATTCAACTTACAGTGAAACTACCATTGTTTTGTAGAAGAGAGCGATGAAAGCAATTTTTAACCTAAGTCCGAGGAGTATATAAATTCTGTAAATGCTAGAAACAAGCACAAGCTAGTTAGGTATATAAGATACTCGACTCCAAATAATTAGTAATTCTGTCGTGGGTTATGCTTTTACAAAAAACTACCATCAGAAATTATGCAGGAGCTATCCATCAAAATGATTAAAAATTTTATTAAGCAAAAATTGTATAATAAGCGTAATTATACTATTAAAGAGTACATTATTGATAATAACTCCTGGGAATAAGGCGATCGGTACCGTGCTATTTCTAAATGTTTTCATATTTAATTGAATATTAAAATGTCTAGCTTTAATTTATGTTTGGAGGCCACATTATCCACTTACCATCATGTGGATTGTTTGCTCGTTTTATCCTGTATTATAAAAAATCATCAGCTCACCAACATGAGATGATCATTACCAGGCACAAATATTTGAATTACATTAGAGAATATATGAAAAACATTGTATGACCTTATAAAAACTAAGCCCACGATTTCTCTGAGATCCCATCATCAGATTCTGACTTGGTGACAATTAACCTCCGGAGTATTCGCTTTCGAATAAAAAAAGACATTTGAAAATCAGTCCCTAATTGGCGGAGAAATTAGTAAATATACATAATGAAATACATACAGTCGAGCATATAACCTCCTCCTTTTTTTTGTTAAAAAGTATAACTAACATCAAAAACGTAAAAACAATTTCCATATGATACTCTGAAGTAGGAACTTTAATCGTAATTCTTCGATGCACTACTTGAATGTCTTAGGAATATTTATTATATATTATAGTAATATCATACTATATTATTGCTAAAGGTCTAAAATATTACAGCTAGAATGTCTTTTAAGTAGGTACATTAAAATTTTCTTTCTTTTAATTTATCCACCTTCAGATATATATTTTTTCTATAAAATTATATGAGACTCGTCCAGAAATATAAACTATTTAAAAATCATTTAAATCGGCTTAGGCGTTTCTGAGAAATCGGAAAATAAAAAAGTACGTGTCGAATATAGAACCTTTTGGTTTTTGAACTCGTTTAAAAAGTCAAATTTACTTAAATCTAAGATTAGAAATACCATTTTTATCTAACTACCCAATTAAAAAAAAACATCGAGTTATCCAAAGATTTCTGTGTTATCTGTTGCTGTAAAAAGCAATTTAGCTAGGGACCTTAATTTACGAATTGCCTAAGCGACATAAAATATGCCGTAGACTAATGACACTAAGACAAAACAAAGCAGAAAAAAGACGATTCCAATCAAATAAAATTAAATTCAAATGTCGCTTTTCCCTTTTTGACTGTTAGGCATCGATATGAAATTGGATTCTCGGGAACGGCTCTAACGCTTTGGATGAAAGTACATAGATAATGTTTTATCTTTCAAGTTGAACTATATCTATAATAAATTGTTTGTCGATTATCTGTTACAATATGCTATATTATGTAATATAGATTTGATGCCAAAAAAAAACTTACGTCGAGCGTCTGATAGTTATTGTGCAACTTCTGAACAACTTTCTCAAATAAGAGAATCTGTTGTTAAAATTGTCAATAAGTATTTTTCATATTTACACTGCAAAAAATTTCAGAGTAAACTGGAAGTGAAACCTATTGCGGCGCCTATCGGAAAGGACAGAAAACCCTCGCCGAGCCAGTTAGTACGAGTACTTGTATAAAATTTAATGTTTAATTTGACGTCTTTAATTTTTATTTTTCAATAGTATTGTTACGCGCAACAGCGCCTAACACCTACCGAACCTACCGACTCAAACACACACAAAAAAATTCATCAAAATCAGTCGAGCAATGGTTGAGCAATGGAGGTTTAGCGAGCCTAAAGGACCGCAATTGGTTTCTAAATACCTATACATATTATTATTTAACCTATGCCCGTTCAAAAATAACAAAATTTTGTATTTTTAATAGAATAAGAATGACAAGCGAGTACACAGCCTACCTGATGGTAAGTGGATGCTGTGACATTTACGTATATCCTCGATTAAGAATCAAAATGCAGATGCGTTGTCACCCCTGAGGACTGGAATACCTTGTATTTAGTAAACAGGGCTTCAAAAGGTTCCCCAATCGTTCAGATTCTATTATGACCTAGCAGTTTTCCAGTGTTACATTAGTGCCACTTGCTTACTTAGAAACGCCCACATTTTCATCAAAACCTTTTATTATATAAAAGTTTTTAAGAAATAGATCAGATTTGAATTTATTACAACGACAGACAAAGTCACATTAAGAATGCAAAATATAAAAATAAAGCTATAAAATTGAGGAAATTCGCCCATTATTTTTAATATCGGTCTGCATGGACCGTCTCTTCACATAATCTTTTTATGACTTCATCTTCACAATCTTCTAGTATATCTAGCAAATGAGTATTTTTTATTTGCTTCTGTAAGATAATTAGTTGTTCACTAAATTTTATTATTTTACTACTTTAAAATCGAAACGCGGTAAGCATTTTTTATTGTAAAGATAACAAATGAACACTCAGTTCACTTGATGGTAAGTGGCTAATGTGGCCCAATGACACCTATATTTATCTTCATCACTCAATTGAAAATTAAAATAGTAGTGCGTTGTCAACTCTGGTGATTAAGATGGAATGTCTCTTTACCAGTGAAAAGGCATTCGGATGTCGTTTTTAACCATACGTGACACAACAGCGTCGTGCTGCTATTTTATGCTAGTATTCTATACGAGTGTGGTTCTTCCACGACCAGTTTGTGCAGCAACTTTAATACGATCCAACGTGGCAATAATATGTTGGTCACCAAATGAAAGTAAATTAGCAAAAGGAAGTTAATTGGCCTTATAAATACAAGTTATTTGTCGCCAAAATTAAGCTCATAATTAAGCTTTAGAATTATTTTTATTCATTAATATTAAAATTGTTAATTGCAATTTTACGTGCCGATTATACTACCGTTCAATGGTGAACTCTGAAAAACCTGCACGTCTGAGGCACTAAAAATATTTTTTATATATTCTTTTTTTATGCAACTTTTTTAACTAAATTTCAACCTGCAAACGGAATTATGAAATTAATTTGCTACCGCAAATCCTCTCATAATTAATTTGGTAAAAGAAAATGGCTAGTTATCATTACATGCTATTGACTTACATCATTTAAAAATGCTTGCTCCAAACGATGTCGAGTTTTTTGTGCCCTGCTGTATTCAGGCAGGCTGGATTGTCGCCGCATACGCATTCTCTTTTCTCTTTCCATGGTCATGAGATCAGATTTTTGGGACAATACGAGATAATGCAGTCGATGTATTAAATCCATGTTTTTAAGTTTCTTAGAGGGCTTTTTTAAAATTTTAAACATTTGTGTGTTTCTATCTAATATATCTAGAGACGATGAAAACATTACATTCTAACTGATTAATTTTTTTCTAAAAACTAATATTTTGTGAGATAATACAACATAACAGATTATTTGAAAAAAAAAAATTAAAAGATCGCCGCTAGCCGAAAGTCACATGTCGGAAAGTTCGAAGCTAATAGAAAGGCGAGAGAGGAGAGTTAAAGCGTGATTACTCAAAGTGGACTCTACGCGGCCTACGAGCCCGTCTGCGAGGGCGGGCGCGGTGCGACTGGCGTGGCGCTGGCGTAGCGCCGAACCGAACTGAATATAGCGTGGAGACACTCGCTGTCTGTCTCCCAGCAACCGTTTGCTAACAACACGCGCTTTTGATAACCAAAACCCAAAGCTGAAAGCCTCAAGCCGTGAGCAGTTCGTATCGGTTTCAAGGATCATGATCCGAATATAAATCATGAAGTTCTAAGCTCCGAATCGGAAATAGATGATTAAGGAATAAATTGGGAATACGACTTTGGAATACGTTAGGCCTCCTTTACTAGATAGTTAGATAGTAAATTAGATTTTTTACTATTTTTATTTATTTATATATATATACTTATATATATATATATATATATATATATATATATATATATATATTTATATATATATATATATATATATATTATTTATATATATATGGGGCATATTGATTTGGAAAACAAAATCCACACTGTGAGGGAAGAAAGTTTTTAAAGATATTTTTTTTATCTTGTGATTGTGATATTCCTCACTTCTGAGAGACTAAAATTAAAATTTTAATAAAACATAAAAGTTGACTTCTAAAACCAAAAAGAATTTAAAAAAATCCACATAGTACCCTCCGAAGTGGTGGGATTTAATTATTTTATACACTATGCCTGGTGTTCAGAGACAATCTCAATTTACAGCTCTAGCTCCACAATTTCAAAATTTATGTCTAGCTTACGGTACGTGCTATGCTACATAAATTTTGACGAGTTAAAGACTCAAAAGTTTAAACTCCAGATTGTATCTGAAAACCGGCCTTTGTCTTAGCACGTTCTTACTTCAGAAGCTATTGTAGCTTTCTTTTTTATTATTAGCTACTTTTTTTGAAATCGGTTGCAGGTTTCTAGAAGGTAAACTGTTAGGCTTTTTAAATCAATCATTATTAGTTGAGAAAAATAAATATTTGCGAAACTGCACACAAACAAGTCTCTTTGTTCTCTTATCTATTAATAGCAAATATGTAACTAGGTTAAACTCAATTTGTCTGATATAAAAGAATAAATGTTATGTATATCATATATAATGGCTCCGTGGGGCAGTGGCTTAGCAATGAGTAGCAGCGCTAAGCGCCGCGGGTTCGAATCCCGCACGAAACATTAATTTGTATGACCTACAAGTAATATTTTTCGGGTCTGGATGTTTATCCTTGTGAAATTTATGAATATAAACTACCCTATCGATACAGGAGAAAATCCTAACGTGGAGTTAACGTTTTTTTATACTTAAAAAAATGCATTATAAAAAACGCATTACACATTTAACTATTAGTGATAAGAAAATAAAATTATGTATTTATTAAATTAGTGTCAGAAATGTGTTTATTTAAAAACCTATCCCAAAATATCTAATCATACCACATAAGCTTTTACATAAGTCATAAAATAAAATTGTGTATTCCATGCAATACATCATGAAACCTATCAAGCCTATGTTTGTCCCAATCATCGTGTCTTCAGGGTGCAATTTTATTACACCTGGGTAACAAACGTTAAACTAATAATTAAACGTTTCGCCGACTTAAAACTTTACTACCCTTTTGGGTGGTCTAAGGAATATCACAAGTTAGGGAAAACTGAGGTAGGAGATGAGCATCAACATTTTTCTGACAACAGCAAAATCACTAAAAAACTGCGGCTGCCAATCCGCTTGCCAAGCGTGCCAACTATGGGAAACCCCTCCCAAATATAAACATATAAATAAAATTGAAGTGTATGTCATGTCTGTAAAATACCAATAAATGCACTTTATTGAGCTCAGGGGTTATTTGTCACAAACAAACCATAAATAATTATATTTTACCTAATAATATTAGAGATTTTTTGTGAAATTGCAATAGTTACAAAATAAATAGTCTTTAATTATTTTTTAATCCATTTGTTGTCCCGTGTACTACATATAGTTCATTGCTATTGTTTTATAATTGTGTCTGAAAATCGGACAGTGAAAGTGTTAAACCTAGATGAGGGTCGGGTCGGGTCGAGGGCGTGTTACTAGTTGATAAGGTAACAACCAGAACGAAGTCTAAACAATTACATTAAAAACTTCACCTTATTTTTCACACGCAATTTTGTCTTTAAATTTATATGGGACTAAAAAAATTCAAATAGTTCACTTCACGTTTTCGAGAAACCATGAGAAAATACGCGTAGATTATAAAAAAATACTAGTTTTTTCTTGAACTCGGTAATAAATAATAATGGATGCATCGTCCGAGGTCCGAGGCATGCGTAATTGGGAAGTATGCAGCCTCCTCAATTACTTCTTGAATAGATCGGATGATCCATTCTATACGGACGTCATTTATCCATCGTCTATCACGGCCCAATGTGGTTTACCTTCACCTTTGACATACTTAGGTAGACTCAAACTGAACCTAATGGATGCAACATCTGAGATCGTCAGTAGCGTGGCGAGTGGAGTATTCAAACTCTGAGTATTTATTATTATATAGTATAATATTGATGAGAAAAGATGACGAGAACTGTTAGAATTAGAATGCCTAAATTCTCTAAATGTCAGAAGTTCAGGCAGTCCAAAGTCCTTTGCCCAGTACGGGCTTCTCCGATAGTAGCATTTCCCTTAGACATGTGTATGAATGACAGAACGGGCGACTGGGGTATCATACATTTTGCATCTGTAAAATGTCTGTCATCTGTTCCGCTGGGCTATGTCTGGTTTTACTAAGGATATCCTCAATCCGAAGTCTATCACGCAGTGAAATTTCGAGCATAACCTTCTCCATAACTCGCTGAGCAACCTTGAACATCCTTATAAAGCCAGCAGTAAAGGACCAAGTCCCGAATCCACACGTCATACTAGAAGCATGCTTCTACTGGTGCATCGTTGTTTTAAAGTGTGTCTTCTCATTACGCATACCTTTAAGGTAGAAGTCGTTATATTAAAGTTGTAATTTGTATTTATATATTATAGTCAGCCAAATCTAAGAAATACATTTTGACAGCTGTCAGAATTATTGCACCAAGTATGCCAACCAAAAAATGGGAACGTACAATATTCGATTACTAAAAAATCGATATTAATTATTTAGAGTTAGTAATAATTTACAGTTTGGTTTGAGTAATACCAGAATAAATTAAAAACGGATAATTTAAATCACAAGATTTATCTGTTTCTTCGTATTTGTTGTTACTGCTTTTTCCTACAGGCAAAGTTATAAACATTTAAGATTGAAATTAGATTAAAAATAAATTTATTCAATCACTTTCAGTACAACAAGTTGAGCTATCGTTGTTTAGATTAATTATTATTTGATTTTCAATTAGTATCTCTTTTTTTAATTAGTAAAAATTAATGTCTCTTTCAAAGTCATCCAAAATTATTTTTTTGTTTTTTCTACCACTTTTGCCCAATCATCCTTTGCGACATGAGCAACATATTTCAACGAATATAGAAGAAACAGTACAAAAAGTTACCGAGCCGAGTCACAAAATAAGAAGACAAACAGAAAATCACAAAATTACACACAGTAAGCTCCCGAAGTGGTGGGAGTTGGTGGAATTGTAGTGGTTTTTCAGCATGGCGGCGGCCTTGTATATGAGTTTTTTTTTTCATACAGAGGAGACAATTTTTTTGCATGGAGAATGGTCACCTCGAATTGTGGCGTAGCTTAATGAAATGCATGTCGATTTATTTCTTATAATCTATAGATTAGAATAGTGATATTAGTTTTACCGTATTTAATGGGAATACTGAGAAATTATCAGTTAAAATTACCTATGTATACGTTGTATGATGATGATGAGTAAATAAATACAAAAAAATTTATCTATACACGCAACATGATGAAGAAGATGAGTAAATAAATAAAAAAGCTGCAACGTGACGAACGTCAATGCCGTATAATGATACCCGTACCCGTACCCGACTACCCCGGAATAAATGACAGAGTAGGGGTAGTAATACGTTTCGTTCCACGGTCACTTTGAACCCTATTACATGACATTACTATTAATTTTTAGAAATCGGATTAAAACAAGTTTTAGTGGTATTTCTTTTTAGTAATAAATAAATAATATAACCACTTCATTATATATGTATATAATAAGTTATCATTTTCAAATATATTTATCTTTTTATTATTCAATATATTACATTACCCAGTACAAGAATATCAAAACACTTTTTTTACAGATTTCATGATTCCGGTTAGATTTTTATAAAATCTTTAGACCCTTTACTGTAGTAAATTGGTATCTTTTTTATGTGTAATACTACTAAGTTACGTTAAAATGTCTAGTGAGCCCAAAATCTAATCTAATAAAGAAGTTTATTTTTTTACTTTGTCTCCTTTACGTTGACAAAGTCAAAACGTTCTTTAGTGTTTCATGATTTATGCATCTTAAAGAATATTAAAAATAAAAGTTTAATTAAACAAATAATACATTTAAAAAATTAATGATTCGATTATTTTAATATTTTTACCAATTATTTTAACATTTTTGCCGATTATTCGCATAACAATGGATAACAACGGATATTTTCTTACACTAAAACCATTTAAGAAATGAAAGGGGGGATGTGCCCAAGAGTGGAACGTATAATATATGGTGGCTGTATAACTTTTCCACAATTGAATGGAATTTTGAAGTCTATTAGTCTACTACTAGTCAGAACTAGAAAATTGAACAGATCCAAGCGTAAATTATACAGTA